AGGAAGGAAGGAAGGAAGGAAGGAAGGAAGGAAGGAAGGAAGGAAGGAAGGAAGGAAGGAAGGAAGGAAGGGTGAATGAATGGGCCCTGATTCAGGGGCCTGGGGGGAGAGCATGGTGAATATGGACTTGTTAGGGTCAGGCCCTTCCATGGGGGTTGAATGGAACAAGAAGCCCCCAGCTCCAGAGGCAGCCATCACCCCTGCGGGAGCGCACACTGGGATGAGGAAGTGAGGTATGTGTGAGAGGTCTGGCTTGAGTGATAAGCGCTTCTCCCTCCTGCCACATCTCCTGAAATGTGGAGAGGAGCTGGGTGGAGTAGGAGAGTGAGGGAGTCTATTCGCACCCCAGGAGAAGGTACTCACTTTGGAGACAAATGAAAATGGATGTCAGGAAGGTGGCTCTGAAGTCCCAAGTCCAATTACATTCTCCCCATGAACAACTGTGGCCCAAACACATACTGGGACTGTCTTCTGGCAGCTTCTACCACCATGCCACGTCCCCTGACCTCCCACCCCCACTGGTGGAAACCTGTCCATGGCATTAGTTTTACATCTCTTATTGCAGGGTCCCCAGTCTGGGGTGACCACAGTAGGTCAGCTGGGGTGGAAAGAGGCAGCAGGTCAGGGAGGTAGTTCTCTGGCTCCAGCCCGAGACACTCAGATAAAAAATGCTGAAGTCAGGCTGATGGGGGTGGGCTGTGGGCCTCCCTAAAGGATCCCTGGCACCAGCCACTGGCTGCCTATCCCTGTGCCAGGACCCTGTAGAGTGTGCCTGGATCTTAAGGCTGGGCAGAGGTGGCAGCCTATTGGGAGCCTCCACAGGCTGCTCCACCCAGTGACTCAGCCCCACACCAGGCCTCCCCAGGGAGGACAATGGTAGCTTGTGGGTACCAGCAAGGCCTCTTGGCAGGTGTGAGCCCCAGGGTGGACTGGCCTGGCCCCCAGGGAGGAGCTCTCTGAGCTTCAGTTTCCACATCTGGACAATAGGTTTAATCACCCAGGTATGCATGAGGACCTGATAGCCAAATATGTAGATGAAAAGTGCCACATTTGGAACTAAAGGGGGAGCTCTGATGACCCAGCTTGCCTTGGAGGATGGACTGGATAGATCAAAGGTACTACTGTGCCCTAATGCCCAACACTAAGCCTGGCACATAGTAATTGCAATGGGCCATGAACCCACTTCTGGGTGTATGTCCAGGACCACACCAGGAACATTGACTATACTCTATGGTTTACATCATAGCCTTGGGGGTCTGGCCCACCCTGAGTGAGACTGGGGACCCGAGAGGCCTCAGCCCCAGCTTGGTCCTCCAGAAACCCCCCAGGCTGGGGAAGCTAGAGCAGGCCCCAGACCTGCGGGGTCAAGGTTGGGCCACTAGAAAGGGCTTCTGGCTGTGGGGCCCTCACTCAAGAGTCCCAAATCCATTAGTGGGAAGAGGCCTAGGGATGCAGGCAGGAGCTGTGGGCACCTATCTTGTGCCCATCACTGCACCCTTCTATTTTCCTGATGGGGAAACTGAGGCCCAGAATGTGGTAAGCATTTGCCCAAGGTCGCAGTGAGGTGGGAGGGATGAGGGATTCAAACCCATACCCCCATACTCCCCTTCCCAGGCCTGGGGCATGTGGGAGACTCTCTGGGCCAGAAGGAAGGCAGTATCAGGGTGAGGGTCAGCCTACTTCAGGTGTATTAGGAGGTGCCTGTGACTTTATTGGGAGCCCCTGCCTCTCCCTGGGGTCTTCACCCCCTTTATCCCCACTTTTCTTCCTTCCTTTCAGCTCAGCTCCCTGGGCTTCCTGAAATATAGTTGATTCAGGGGCTTCAGGTGGGGGTGGAAGAGCATTGCAGGCAGGGGGCACAGCAAGGACAAAGACCCAGAGAATGAGTCTGGCAGGTTCCAGAACAGTGAGGAGGCCCTGTGTCCAGAGCTCCGTGGGCCAGGGAGATGGTGGCCTCTTCCCAGGCCTGAAAGCAGTGTAGCTTTCTCTCTGGGGGTACAGGGAGCCATGAAAGAGAATGTTATTTAATTTATAATAATTATTCCCATTCTATACGGTCTGTGGTCTTCAAAAGCTAAGGAGCCCTGGCTGTGGGGGGAACTTTGGACCTACAAAGAGACAGATCGCTGAGAATCAAAAGGCCTGGTCTGGCCTTAGTCCTGTTCAAACTCAGGGTCAACGTTACAGATGAGGAAACTGAGACCTAGCGAGTCAGAGGTACTGCGCAGGTCCCACGCGGGGCTCTCTGAGGCTGAAACAGAGCTGGCCTTGGCTTCCCTGCCCATGAAATGGGTCTGATTCGTCCCCTCCGAGACTGGGAAGCCCGCTCCAAACACCCAGCACCTGGGCCAGTCCCAGGAACTCATACACGACGTAGCCCGAGAGGCCGCGCGGGCGCCCACGCAAACCTGAGAATAAAACTGCAAAGCCCACCCCCGCCGTTTCTCTCGGCCTCTCTCCCACTCTCGCTCTCCGAGAGTCCCGCCTCTTTCTTCTCAGTCCGCAGAGAGAGGGCGTGGCCACTTCACGAATGGCCGGTGACACGGCCACTCACGCTTTCGCTCCCTCCGATTGGCCGCCACCGCTCCGCCTTATCTTTCCATCTCAGGGTCCTTTCCCGCTTGCGTCATGCATACTAAGCACTCAACCCACCTGCGCCTCCGCGTTAGAATATAGTCCCTGTCCGCTCACCGCACCGTCTGCTGACCGAGCCGCAGTGCGTCCCCACCCCAAGACTCCGGGCTCCGCAACACCGCAGCCGCCTCCTGCGAGCGTGCGGGACGGCGAACCGGGAGAGGCAGCCCGTTCGGGCGGTGGTGGCGGAGGGATTCGCGGCGTTTCGGCACGGGGCGGACCNGTAGGCGGGCCCTGGAGTGGGCGTGGTCGGCGCGCGGGCGGGGGACGGAACATGTCTCCCGCCGCAGGAAGATGAGGCAGCGGCGGCGCCCGCAGACGTAGCGGGCCGGGCAGAGCCAACTGGACGCGGCGGCGGGCACCGCGTACTCCACTCACGCCGCCTCCGCTAGTGCCCTGACCGCGCACGGGCACGCGGGGAGGGGCTCAAGC